ATTAAAATTTGTAATTGATTCTATAGTAACTATAGTTTTTAGTATGTAATAATAAATCAAAAGTCTTGTTTTTGTTTTTTTAATTTTGTACTGAAGATTGAAACCAGGGTCTCTTTACCTCTAAGCCACATCCTCCAGGCCTTTATATTTTTAAATTTTGAGACAGGGTCTTCCTAAATTTCAAAGGCTGGCCTCTAATTTTAAACCCCATGCTTCAGCTTCTTGAATCGCTGGAATTACAGGTGTGCGCCACCATGCTAAACCATTTTTTTTTGTTTGTTTTTTTCCCCTGCTGGTACCAGGAATCAAACCCAGGGCCTAGGCACATGCTGTGTAAGTACTCTTTTAGCATGGTGATTCAGTGAGTATGCTTCTACAATGTCTTCAAGAGAGTTTTAAGCTTAATACCAAAGAGGACCTCAAAGGGCATGCCCCTTCTGTACTGGTTGACGGGCACTGGGCCATTTATCCTAGCCCAGTTAATTCCACAGAAACCTGCTCTTCTGTCATCCAATTCATAATGTCATTCTTGGTTTTCTTTCTGATCATCAGAGACCAAGAAAATAATATATGTTATATATATACACAAAGCATCTAAAATCCTATGACTCAGGAGGCTGAGATAGGAGGAACACAGGTTTGAGGCTAGCCTGGCAATTTAGTGAGAACCTCAGCAATTTATCAGGACTCCTTCTCAAAATAAAAAGGAATAGGACTATAGCTCAGTGGTAAGGAATGTGTGGGTTCAATCCCTCATACTGGGAAAAAAAAAAAAAAGACCTTACAAACTTGGGAATTTAAGGGAATAATAGAACTGACTTTAAAAAAAAGGCATGGAGCTGGAGATGTAGCTCAGTGGTAGAGTGCTCTGCCTAGCATGTGCAACACCCTGGGTTCAATCTCTATTACCACAAAAAAGGGAAGGATGTTGGAAAAATAGCCTAAAACCAAGAGCAGTGAAACATGCCAGTAATTCTAATTTTAACAACTTGAGAGGCTGAGGCAGGGGAATCACGTTTTTGTTGTTTGTTTGTTTGTTTTTGGTACCAGGGATTGAACCCAGAGGTGCTCAGCTTTTTTTATTTTTGAAATAGGGTCTCACTAGGTTCCTTAGGTCTTTGCTAATTCCTGAGGCTGGCCTTGAACTTGTGATCCTTCTGTCTCAGTCTCCTGTGTGGCTCGGGTTAAAGGCTGGGATTATAGGAGTGTGCCACCCCCCCTAACTGGAGGACTGCAAATCCACAAATTCTATGTGAGACTCAGCAATTTAGTAAGACCTTGTCTCAAAATTTTAAAAAGGGTGGGGTAGAACAGGTTTGACCCCCAGTACTCCAAAAAAAGAAAGAAAATAATCCAACTGTAATTTTTTGTTTTTGTTTGTTTTCTGATACCAGGGATTGAACCCAGTGATTCTTAACCACTGAGCCACATCTCCAGCCCTTTTTGTTTTTTATTTTTTGAAACAGTGTCTCACTAAGTTGCTTAGGGCCTCGCTAAATTGCTGTGGCTGGCTTTGAACTTGTCATCCTTCTGCCTCAACCTCCTGAGTCACTGGGATTACAGGTGCACACCATCACACCCAGCTCCAACTGTATTTTTAAATGGTATATTACTCTCAGCCTCAGCTTCTGGAAGACAATAGGGAATGGTGAGGACCTTAGGGAGCCAGAGAGTTAGTTGACCAAGACTAAAGGAGACAGCTGCTATTCAGCAGCAGATAATTGCTGCCAGCTTGAATGCCTAGTATTGGCAGACACTTTGAATTTAGGACAAGAGGCAACCAAGGTATTTTTGTGCAATATCCCAATTTTTAAATTTTGGCAACTCACTTTTTAAAAATTTTTCTTAGTTGTAGATAGACACAATATCTTTATTTATTTTTATATGGTGCTGAGGATCAAACCCAGTTCAAGGCAAGCGCTGTACCACTGAGCTACAACCCCAGACCGGCAACTCACTTTTGTTTATTTTATTTTTATTGTGGTGCTGGGGATCGAACCCAGGGCCTTGTGCATGCAAGACAAGCACTCTACCAACTGAGCTATATCCCCAGCCCCCCGGCAACTCACTTTTAAACCCTCAGATATCAATATATGCCAAGGAAATGCGTCCACCAAATGTGTATCTTGGTTTGACAATTAGCAGCCTCTAAATTACTGAAATTAACTTCCCAGGGACTAAACTTACCTGGGGATTAAACCCAGGGGTATATAACTACTCAGTCATATTCCCAATCCTTTTGAGATAGGTTCTTCCTAAATTGCTCAGGTTGGCCTCAAACTTGGGATCATTCTGCCTCAACCTCCAGAGTCTCTAGGATTACAAGCATGTGCCTCTATACACGGCCCAGACATGTATCTTTGTATTTTTTCCTTCTTTTTTATTTATTTTTTTATATACCAGGGATTGAACTCAGGGGCACCTAACCTCTGAGCCACAGGATTGAACCAGGGGCACTTAACACTAAGCCATATCACCAGCTCTTTTTTATTTTGAGACAGGGTTTCCATAAATGCTTAGAGCCTTAGCTAAATTATTGAGGAAGCTTTGAATTTGTGATCCTCCTGCCTCAGCCTCCCAAGCTTCTGGGATTCCAGCTGCATACCACTGCATCTGGCCCAACCTACACCTTTGTAAACATAGTTTGAAGCTAAGACTGAAAGTGAAAGACTCTTTGCCTTGGTTGGAAATTTCCTGCCTTAAAAACTGAAATTATTTCCATCTTTTCTTAGATGTTCAGTTCCTTATCAACTCTGTCCCCAAGTAGCTTCCACCAAGGCTAAGATATTACTTTATTTGAACACTGAATTTTAGTGTCTTAGCAAAAGCAAGTTTGTTCCCTCACCTTGTTTACTAGAATTCACAGTCTTGGTGGATAACCGGCAAACCATTTTCCTCGTCAGCCAATCACTCTTCCCAAAGTCAGTTTCTGTTGTGGCTGTGTGCTCCTGCCCAGCTGCAGCAGTGGATCCAAAGAATCAGACTGAGACGTGGAGTTTCTTGGACAACTTCAAAGAAACAATGCAAAATTTCACATCCTGGCATGTGTGGATGAGAGAGTGAATCATCCTGAGAGTTAATTGGGGCCAATTAGACCAACCTGACTTGTCACTGACACCAAAACATCTGGCATAACTTGCTTTATTCTCAGGAGAGTTATCCCCACCCTCTACTCACTTGCTTCTAAAATTCACCATTTTTGAAAGCATGGTGTGTACCTTTAGATATATAATTATTCAAAATGGGAGGGGAATCTGGAATGCTTGAGGAATTCAGCTCACAAGTAAGCAAGGTGAAGTCACATGATGGGAAGAGAAAAACTTCCACCTCACCACATGCTAGATGGAGACATCAGCACTTAAGAAGGGTGATTAACTTTTTTCCCTCTCTATTTTATCTTTCCTTTATATGCTAACACTTTACCCAGAGTTCCAGTTCTTCTCCGTTTTGTCTTAGTGATGTTGCTCAGTGCTGGCATTCCAGTACAGTAGGACAGGTTCATATAAAAGCACTAACACGCAGAAACTGTAAGGCCTTCCCTCTTAGTCTGCCCTCCCTCAGCATGAGGTCTCCTGTTTATTTATTTATTTATTTAGGGTACTGGGGATTGAACTCAGGGGCACTGGACCACTGAGCCACATCAACAACCCTATTTTGTATTTTTTTTAGAGACAGGGGTCTCACTGAGTTGCTCAGCACCTCGCTTTTGCTGAGGCTGATTTTGAATTCCGGATCCTCCTGCCTCAGCTTCCGGAGCTGCTGGGATACAGGCGTCTGCCACAGCATCTCCTATTTTTAAGGACTCTGTTCTCCTTCCTAAGATACCCTGGGGCAACTCTTTCCAACTCACCCTCACCTTTTTCATCCTTAGGCCCTGAAAAGTTTTCCCCTGAGGCATGCACACCAAGTAAGTGCAGGGCAGGAAGGATGCAAGTTGGTCAAAATGTTTGAAGTTAAACAAGTTTGAGTCGGGTGCGGTGGCGAAGGCCTGCAATCCCAGCGGCTCTGGAGAATCACAAGTTCAAGCCAGTCTCAACAATTTAAGGAGACCTTCCCCGCCTCATGCCGCTAAAAAAAAAAAAAAAAAAAAAAAAGATGTGGCTCGGAGTTACCCTGGGTTCAATCCCTTGTATAGGAAAGAAGGGGGGAAAAAAAACGATTTGATCCAGGCTTTACATACAGGATAATACTCCACATGATCTCCACTTTTATACTCGAGGAAACTTAAGGTTTGATGAAGTAAAGCTTGTTGCATTAAATCAAGATCTCACGGTGGCAGAAATGGACGTAAACCCATCTATTTCCAAGGCAGTAATTACTGACTACAAATACCAGCAAGCTTTGCCGTGCCCCACTGCTCAAAAGGCACCTTCCCCAGGGCGCAGTCCTAGCGGTTATATCCGAAACCCAACCCGAAGCCGCCTCTGCCCACCCGCCAGCCAATAAAAAGGCTGTTGCTAACATGCCTGCTATATTTTTAGCTTTCGGTGCTTGGGTACCAGCGGTGGGCTGAGTCTCGCTGCCGAGGTGGAACCCGCGAACTGGGGAGGGGAGGAGAAAAAAGGGGCGGGTGAAGCGAGGAAAGGCGGAGGGGCGTGTGTATGACGCGCTGCCACTCGCTGACGCACGAGGCAAGTAGTCCCTGGAGGTGTCCCGGGGTGGAGCGCTCTGAATGTGGGGGATGGTCGCTGTCGCCCTCGGGCTCCCTCCCGCCTCCCCGTCTCAGTGGAGTTTGCCCTCCAGCCCGATGTTTCTCTGCTGCTGTCAAGGAGAATACATTTAAACCCCCACGCTGGCGTTCGGTCCTTGCCAAAAAAAGTGATCAAGGAAAATAAAATGCAAACCGTAACTGGAAACTTTCCGATCTCACCACCCCACGTGGGTTCGGAGGCTGCCGTTGGTCCAGAACGGTCAGGAACGAGAATAAAGGCGGGGGGGGGGGAGTATTGGGGAGTGGGCAGAGGAGGGAGTAGACTCCTGCGCAAACATCCCCACCCAGGGCTCCGGACCTCGCCGTCCGGCAGTCCTGTCCGCCTGACCTCACCGGTCACAGACCTCCCTACCCCCTACTCTGCCCCACACTGTCACAAAGAGGCAAAGTGATCTGCACCGCCGAGATCCCGGCAGAGGGAACCCATCCCGGGTTCGGAAAGTCTTGCTCCGCTGCCTGAGGGACCGTCGGGTGTGCGCGCCCATCGTGCCTATTGTGGGCAGGCGCCACACCACTCCGCGGGGCTATTCCTAGAATTAGCGTGGCTCTCCTAGCCCTCGTAGGGGTCGCAGGCTGGGGAGAGCCAACTGGAGCGTTGGCTGGGGGGCGGCGCTTGCGCGTCTGCGTGGAAAAGGCCCTCTCCCTGCACCGGGAACCTGGTGTCAAGAGGTTACTCAGCTGCTGGCCATCGGCCTCTTCATCCCGCACAGCGTGCCCCAGGCCCCATTCCCCCTCGCCCTCCTCTCGACTTTTAGCGTACGACGACGAGGCGAGCCGCGCTCGGAAAACTCAGGCCAATGCGAGCTCAGGTCCGAAACCTTTCCAGAGCTCAAGAGGTGCCCCTAGATCTCGCACCCAAGGAGGTCGCAACTGGGCGAGCGTGGGGGGACAGGCGCCTAGAGCTGGAGGGGCGCGCCAAGGTAGCCTCGGTGGGAAATAGTTCGGACAAACGTAAACTTGCGTACCGCAGGCGCCCCGGTAGGTGCAGGGTCGGAGGTTAGGGGAGAGCTTCCTGGGGCAAGCTGTGCCCGCCCCACCCCCGACAGCCACCGTCCAGCAGCCGGAGTGAGCGCCCACCGTGTCTCAGCCCGGTGCCTGCCCTCACGGAGCTCCCCGTCTATCTGGGGATGCTCCTTACACGCTAAGCACGAGCTCAGAGAGTGGCTTGGGGCCGCAAGAAAATACGGCACGGCAGTGTTGTGATGGGGAAGGGAAGACAGACAGCCAGGCCGAGGAGGTGGCGACGCGAGAGGGTCTAGAAGAGAGACTCCCCGCAGCCTTTGCCTGCGTCCCACGCCCAGCCGGCTACGGGGCCGGAAGGGTTAAGCCGCGGGCCGGCAGGGAAGTAGTCCCGGCCGGACGCCCCGCCCCGCCGGCGGAGGGACGCATCACGCAGGGGTGGGGAAGTCGGATCCGTGCGCAGGGTTGCTAAGGGTGAAACTTTTCATTGACTTTGCTCACTTCTGGCCGCGGCGCGGGAGGGTGCGGGTCGTGGGCGGAGAAAAGCTAGTGGCTCGGGCGACGCGGGGCCAGGAGGGCCAGGTCGTCCGCCGACTACAGCAGTCCGTCCTCCGCCCCGCGACGCGAGCCACCCTCTGGGCCGCCATCCTAGTGTTGTCGCCGCCGGTCGGCCTGCCCGCGGTCGTCCGTTCCCTGCCGCCGAGTCCGACCTCCAAAAAAGCTGAAAGAATTATATTAGGAGTTATAGCCCGTAACCTCCTCCTTGCTCCCAGCCCTCAACGACGAAAAGGACACATCGACCCCCGGCCTCGCAGCGCCGGAGAAAGCAGGGAGAGCGACCTCTGCCCCGGGCCCAGGACCACCCTGGCAGGAGAAGACACCTGGCGACCCGCAGCCCATCCCGCCGCCGCGGAGACCCGAGTGAGTGCAGGGGCATGCGGACGGGCGGGGGGGGGGCTGACACCCACCGGCTGGACAGCCTGCCCCACCCCGCCCTTGCTCCGGCTCTTGGCTTTGCTGGACACTCCACGTCGCTGTCACCCCCTCCCCCGCCCGGCCAGCATTTTCCTCGCCCCTTCTATCTTCCTTTTAGAACCGCCCACACTTCTCCCTTGCTCCTCTACCCTGTCTCTGATCCTGCGGTACCCAAGAGCCACCTTCTCTCCCAGGTGCAAGAGTGGCCTCTCCTGGATGGAGTGCATTTCTTCCCTTCCTCCTTCCCCAGTTCTTATATCCCAGATACTCGCTAGATTTTCCTTGTTCCCCAAAGAAACATACCTCCCACTGCCATCGTTAAATAAATGAGAGGAAGGAAGGGGATCCTGCTTTTCTGCTTTTCCCGTGTGCATGAAATGGGGTTGCTAATTAATATGGATTATTTCTGGTTCTGTGGAGCCTGAAGGATGAAGGTTGAACACTCCTTCTTGGGGATGAGACCGATTAGAGGGAACTGTCCTTGAACCACTCAGCCAGAATTCATTTCAGCTTGAAATCTTTATCTTCTTGGCTTAAAGGGAAAACTGCGCGTAAAAAAGTACCAGTAGGACTATGCCAGCTAGTGGATTCTACTTGATCTACATAGGGTCCCTGGGAAGAAGGGCCCTACTCCTAAATTCCTTTTCCAGTCCAGAGAATGGATTGTGCCCTTGACCAGGTATCTGGGGAGAAGGGAGGGAGCAAATGGAAGGCACAGCCGGCTGACCCTCTCCTCCCCTTGGAGCAACCGAACCCCACACGCGGGGCTTCAACTTGAGGACCAGCAGACAGGGTCTTGGATGCCTTCTCACTGTCCAACCTATTGTTTTTTACCTTCCTACCCACCCCACCTGGGAGTAGGTCCCTCATTTGATTCTCAGTAGAAAAACATCCCTCTTGCTTTCTTGTCGCCTACCCCCTTCCCTCTCTTAAGCATTGAGAAAAGCAGCTTGTGTGGGAGGCCGGATTAGGGAGGTTTAACACCCTGTAGGGAAGCTTTGCAGAGGATCTGGTAAGTCTGGTCATAGAGTAGGCCTTGCAGTGGGAGGAGACTCACGCAGAATTTTAAATATTAGAAGGTGTTCAGGTTTCCGATGTGCAGTTTTTCCTTCCCTGCTGAGAACCTTCCCCATTTCCCTGAAATCCTTTTTCAGACTTGGATTAGAAGTGGGGTAAGGTTTGAGGCCCCCTGACGTTAGGCCTTCTGATTGCCGACAGAACTGGATCCAGTTCCTGCTTTTCCTTTCCTGACTGTGAGGTGCTGGAGCCGAGCCTACTGGACATTAAGTGGAAAAGGCTCCTTTCTCTTTGAGTCCACCGTCAGTCCCTACAGCAACTCCAGACAGCGGCTGCCCACCCTTGGAATTCAGATTCAGCTGCAGGGGTGGGGGTGGGAGGGCGAGGCCTTGTCTATCCCAGCCCACCCCTTTCTCCCAGAAAAACTCATTGGAAGCAGGTCCCTAATTCAGCAGTCTTCGGAGGCACTGGAGAGAGATGGGGAAAGTTCTGCCCCTCGTACGGACGCGGTGGGTGGTACGAACCGCGAGCTGGCCTAGTGGGTAGATTTGGACGAACTGTCTTGAGATGGGAGGGGGCGCCCGCCACGCAGTGCGCATGTGCGTCGGAAACTTTTCCTCGGCTCCGACCCTCGGCCAGGTACCCCTGCCGGGCATGCGTGGTTGGGCCGGCTGACCCGCCCCCGCGGAGCGCGCAGGGAAGTGTAGTGTGCGCAGAAGTAGGTCACGCGTCCGCGCGTGCCCGAGCGGCCTGGGCGCTGCGGCTCCCGGAGTGCAGAGCGCGCCGGCCTCGGAGGCCGGGGAGGCCGGCGGACCCTTCTTTGGGAGAGCCCTGCGGGTCGCGCCCAGTGATGCCCGGGCCACGTTTGGGGTGGGTGGGAGTGAGACCCAGCAGGGCGAGGTCAGCTCCAGCCCTGGAAACATTCAGCCACGCCGCCCTTAGGGACCGCCGGTGGGGCGGGTCCTCGCGGTGACCTGCGCTCTGCAGACAGGGACCCCAGGGCTGGCTGCCGCCTCTCCCGGCCTTGCTCAAATCCAGAGCATCCTATAGTGCTTGATTGTGGGGTGATGTCAGTGTTGAGGGTTTCAGGTGCCTGAATATTTTTATAGATTTGGGGCCCAGTGGATTCTTTCACCATTGTCCCTTCAACCCTTTTTAAAAACACAACTGCTTTTTTGTTAAAAACTTGCTTCTCTTTCTTATTAGAATAAGATATACTCCATGTTTGTATAGATATTTCAAAATATTCTACTGTCATATATAACTAAGAACAACAACAACAAAAAGAGCTTGTCTCTCATGGTGCTCGGTGACGCCTGTAATCCTTGCTGAAGCCGGAAGGTCTGCAAATTCGAGTCCAGCCTGGGCAATTTAGCAAGACCGTGTTGCAGAGTAAAATTAAAAGGGCCTAGGGTGTATCTCAATGGTAGAGTGCTTGCCTAGCATGTGCGAGGCCCTGGGTTCCATCCACAATAAGGGGATCGGGGTTTCTGTTCACTAGTCCTCTTTGGAATCTGTATAGACCGAGGCTTCCTTCAGTGTCTCCCCACATCTTTGCCTATAAACTTACTGTTAAAAACACAAGTCAGCACAAGGGATCTGAATCCAGGTTTAACCTTGTGGCTGAAAGTAAGCAAATTCCGGAGGATGAGATTGTTTTTTTTTTTGTTTGTTTTTTGTTTTTTTTTTTTGTGTGTGTGTGTGTGTGTTTTATAGGAGCAATTGAACGCAGGGACCCTTAACCACTAAGCCATATACCCCACTCCTTTGTAATGTTTTAGACAGTGTCTCACTGAGTTGCTGAGGCTGACTTTCAACTTGCAATCCTGCCTCAGCTTCCAGAGTCCCTGGGATTACAGGCTTGCGCCACCACAAGGAGGATAAAATTCTTGGTGAAACTAGACAGAAATTGCATTTGTAACTTTAATACACTGACAGAAGTGGAGATTTTGCTATTAAAAATTTATCCCCACACACACAAACACACATATGCTTTTTTGCCACCTTTCTGGCCTTTTAGTTGAAAAAGATTTCAAGAATTTTCTGCAGCTTAACAAATCTACCTGTTCCTTTTATTAAAGGATAGGTATTTCTAAGCACTCTAATCTTACCACACTTTCATGAATATTTTATATAGAAGCTCTAGAAATTGTCCATAGCTTTGTAAAAAAAATTAAAGAACTCATCCAGTGATCACACTTATCTTTAGCTGAAGACAAGACAGCACCAGTGCTTTAATCCTGTCCCATAAGCTTCTTGAAGTCAAAATTAGAGCCTGAGCTGATAGAGCAGAAAATCTCATTCTGGTCATCCGGCATTTTTGTAAGGTTCCACCCCACAACCATCTGGCCTGGCCTGTTCTCCAATTAAAGAGGCAAAGGTAGCATTATACACTTCCTTATTTGTGCAGCAACATCACTGAGGTATAAATTGGTGTGCAGCTTTAGTTGCTTATGCTGCAGAAAATGGTTCACTAGGCAGGGCTGATGACAGTGGTTCTATTGTATATTGGGTGGGAGGCTTATTTCCCAATGACTTTGGCCTGCATTTAAAATGCTCCCGTTTTGAGGCTGAACTGTTTGGGGCTGTTTATTTGGAAGGCAATTATACAGTCAAGTTTGAGTAGGCCTAGAAAGGCATAGAAGTCCTTTCTTTGGTCTGGGTGGAATACCAAGAGGCACATTTTAAGAGGCCATGGTATGCCTTAGGAGAAGTGTCATATGTTGACTTCAAATATGTTTTACTTTTCAAACTCTTTGAAAACACTGGCTTTAACTCCAAGCCCATTCTTGGGATCTGATGCCAACTTTCTTCACATTTTTTTAGTTTCCTCCATGTTGAATACCTCTAGTTCACCATGGTGACCTTTTTGTTTGTTTTGTTTTGTTATGCTTGGAGGTTGAACCCAGGGCTGTTCTACCTTCATTTATTTTTGGTCCCAGGGATTGAACCCAGAGGTGCTTAACTACTGAACCACACATCCCTAAGCCCATTTTATTTTTTATTTTGAGACAGGATCTTACTTAAGTTGCTAAAGCTTGTCTTGAACTTATGATCCTCCTGCCTCAGCCTCCCGAGTTGCTGGGAATAGAGGTGGGTGCCACCATTCCTGACTCAAACCTCCATTCTTAAGCCTGGTATGATGTTGTACACCTATAGTCCCAGCTACTCAGGATCACTTGAGCCCTGGAGGTTAAAGGTCAGCCTAGGCAAAATAGCAAGACACTATTTTTTTTTTTTTTAAAGCCACCTTTCTTGGGAGGAGTCCCATGGTCGTATAGCTAGCTTTGTATCTGGTGATGAACCAATCTTCAGAAACAGAAAGTCCCTTTTTACCATTCTTCTCTTTAAATCTAAAGGGGCTGGGGATATCACTTAGTGGGTAGAGTACTTACCTCACATGCACAAGGTCCTGGGTTCAATCCCCAGCACCATTTAAAAAACAAACAAACAAAAAAAAAGAAAAAGAAACCCTGGAAGTGATCTGTCTTAATCATGAATAGACATTTGAAGAAACTTACAGATCAAAGACCAAAGTCTTTTGGAGGCTGGGATGAAGAGGAAAACAGGGTTTCCTGAGTACTGAGCATTCTGTGGGCAGGCTTGGGAGAGGGACGAGTCACTGACTCCCCATGTGACCCTCTCTGTTTCCTCAGACCTGAAATGAGAGTCCAGATGGAACTACTGAGCTATGGTGCTCTAGATTGATCCAGTGCATCTTCTCAGATACCTTCATCCCAGAATATTTTTCTTGAGGATTTAGTCCTAAAAGTGTTCCTAGGAGCCAAGGGCCCAAGTCTAAGAATGAACAGGGAAGTGTGTTGGGACAGGTGTTCAGAAAACTCAAGACCCCCCAAGCCTACAGCTGGTACCTGGACACTTCATGCTGAAACCAGAAGGAACTTTAATCACAATCCAACACTGAGTCTTTCACAGGACGGAAGTTGCCCTTGACAGGTCATGGATCAGTCTCATCTCTGTGCTGAGCTCAGCAGCCTAGACTTGCCCAGAGATCTGGTTAGGGAGATGTTTTGGCCCTGCCTTCCCTTAAAGATTGCCCTTTTTTAGTTCATTTTCTCCCTGAGCGTGAGTTCAGGAGCCACCCTTTTGGAGAAAGTGAGAGTAGAATCACTAGCTCTTAGGACTTAAGGATCATGTTCCTGAAACATGAGGCTGGCCCAGACCTATGGGGTAAAACTTTTTTGACCTCAGTGGGATTGGCTGTAAGAGAGTCCCAAAATAACAATCTGAGTGTTTATCTTGGGCTGCCTTCTCCTCCAGCATCTCCAAACACTTGATAAATCTGATCCAGTGCCGAGAACAGGTGGTCAGACAGTCCCTGGGAAACAGAGTGATGATGGGGTCCCCAGCTGGAGACTACAGGGTGATGGAAATTTTTTTCCCTCTGCCATCATCCTCATCACTTACACCTTCTACAGAAACTACAGAGATTCCCTCAGGCCACACCAGTGCTGCTCGTGTGTGTGTGTGTGTGTGTGTGTGCGCGCGCGCGCGCACAACAGTGTACTAGGATTGAACCCAGGGGTACATTCCCCACCTTTTTTTTTTTTTAGTTGTAGATGGGCACAGTGCCTTTATTTTACTTGTTTATTTTTATGTGGTGCTAAGGATTGAACCCAGTGCCTCACGCATGCTAGGCAAGTGCGCTGCCACTGAGCTACAGCCCCAGCCCTACACTGTAGTTCTTAAATCAGTTCTGCAAACCCAGACTGAGCCTGAAAGCCTCACACCCATGGGGCCCAGGGTAACAGATGGATATGACTGAAGTCCAAGCCCCAGAGAAAAGTTGGCAGTGTTCCTTCATGTTCAGTGACCTGTATCCCTTTCCATGTAAGGAGGAGAACTAAAAATTTTAAACTTACATCTTAGCCTGTGACAGTTTGGGGACATGACTTCACCAAGATATTACAGAGACAGCAAAGTCCTTCCCTTCTTCTGATGAATTAGGAGCCTGGATTTATTCATTTATTTATTTTTGCTTGGGGTGTGTGTGTGTGTGTATCATTCGTACAGGGACCCAAATTCTCATAATGGTGGAAAACAGCATTCCGTCTGTGTTTATTATTTTAAAAAAATAGCTAACTTTATCAAGTGTCTATTAATGCCAAGTGTAGCATAAGACAATTTATATCCTCCAACTCCATGTCAGACACATTTTCCCAGTGAGAAATCTAAGGCTCAGAAGGAAGTAACTTGTCTACAATTGTATAGTTGAACCCAGCCACTGGTAGAATGGTAGTTGATCCAGAGTTGGTGTTTTTTTGTCTGTCTTTGGCCACTTCCATCTGTCTGCATATATATATTCATGATACTCCTTTCCTTCTTTCTCATTTCCCAGAACCATCTGGAGCCCAAGTCTGCCCATCTTACATCTGCAACCACTTCCCTTGGCCTGTGCACGTGCCCTGCACTGATTCTCTGCCTAGGAAAGGACCATGCAGTTAGAGATTAAAGTGGCCCTGAACTTCATCATCTCCTATTTATACAACAAGCTGCCCCGGCGCCGGGCAGACCTGTTTGGAGAGGAGCTCGAGCGACTTTTGAAAAAGAAATATGAAGGCCACTGGTACCCTGATAAGCCACTCAAGGGCTCTGGCTTCCGCTGCGTCCACATTGGGGAGATGGTGGACCCTGTGGTAGAGCTGGCTGCCAAGCGGAGCGGGCTGGCAGTGGAGGATGTGCGGGCCAACGTGCCTGAGGAACTGAGTGTCTGGATTGACCCTTTTGAGGTGTCCTACCAGATTGGTGAGAAGGGGGCTGTGAAAGTGCTGTACCTGGATGACAGTGAGGGCAGTGGTGCCCCAGAGCTGGACAAGGAGATCAAGAGCAGCTTCAACCCTGATGCTCAGGTATTTGTGCCCATTGGCAGCCAGGACAGCTCTCTGTCCAATTCCCCCTCGCCGTCCTTCGGCCAGTCACCCAGCCCCACCTTCATCCCTCGCTCTGCCCAGCCCATCACTTTCACCACCGCCTCTTTCGCTGCCACCAAATTTGGCTCTACCAAGATGAAGAAGGGTGGTGGGGCATCTAGTGTTGGGGGCGTGGCCAGCAGTGGGGCAAGTGGCCAGCAGCCACCACAGCAACAGCCTCGCATGGTCCGCTCGCCCACCAACAACCTGCTGAAGCACAAGAGCCTCTCTTTGTCTATGCATTCACTGAACTTCATCACAGCCACCTCGGCGCCTCAGTCCCAGCTCTCACCCAATGCCAAGGAGTTCGTGTACAATGGTGGTGGCTCGCCCAGCCTCTTTTTTGATGCGGCTGATGGCCAGGGCAGTGGCACCTCAGCACCCTTTGCGGGTGGTGGGGCCAGCACCTGTAACAGCAGCAGCTTCGATATGGCCCAGGTATTTGGAGGTGGCACCAACAGCCTTTTCCTGGAGAAGACACCCTTTGTGGAAGGCCTGAGCTACAACCTGAACACCATGCAATACCCCAGCCAGCCGTTCCAGCCTGTTGTGTTGGCCAACTGACCACTCCTCCACCCAGAGGGCCAAGAGCACCCACGACCACAGATAAGAAAAAAGAAAGGAGAGGAAAGGCCAAAAAAAAGAGGAAAAGAAAACTGTACAAAAATATTTCCAATCTTCTCACTCTCGCTTCTAGAAAAAAGATCCAGCCCAGGCATGGAGTGGGAGGGGGCTCCTGAAGCACCGAATCGTGGTTAACTCAACCCCCCACCCCGACCGTTTTCCTGCCTGCTTCTGATTTATTTGGTTGGTTTGGGTTTTGTATTTTTTTTTTTTTTTTACATGTAGTTTTCTATATAACATCTTTAATTAGTGGCTTCCTGTGCTAAGAATGGTCCAGATGTGAATTGCTGCTCCCTGTTCCCTCCTCCCTCCTTCACACTCCTTTATGATTGGTGTGTCCAAGCTCACAGGGAAGGAAGAGCTGCAGCTGGGGCCAACCCCCCCCAAGTAGGGAGAGGCTGGTCCATTTCACTGCCTGCCCTCCAGCTATCCTCTCACTCAAAGCCATCCAACCTCAGCAGGACTTCTTGGGCCCTGCCACCCAAATAGGTCTGACCCCAGCCCACACTCCCTCTCAGGCTGGGCCACAGGGAGTTTCTGGCTAGCCACTTGACACCCTCCCCCAAGAGCTAATGTCTGTGACTACAGGGAGGTTTGCACTTTGTCTTGTTGAAATCCTTTCATCTCTGTGCTGTGGGCCCATCCACCCACCGACCCCACCAGGCCTAGACGATTATCATGGCTCTGGACACCCAGCATCCTTTATAAGCATGGCCTCTTTCTCTAATGCAGCCCTTCTTCCCTGGGCCTGAGGCTGCGGGCTAGGAGGTGGGAATAAGGGGTGTGTGTGTGTGTGTGTGTGTGTGTGTGTACACCCCTGTGAGTATATGTGGTTTGCTGTCCTGTTCTAAAGGATTCCAAGCCATGTGAAACTTCCCTCTGGATGTGATTCTGGGTTGCAGCAAGTGCTTATTTATGTATGAGGTTGGGGATGGGCTGGGGTGGATTGTCAGTTTTTTGTAAGGCAGTATGGAGGGGGTGACATTGACTGAGCCTAAGGCACTCCCAGGGGAAAGCACTGCAGAAGGAACTGGTTTCCAGACTGCAGAGGGATCTGCACTTTTGTTTGTTTTTGACCAAAAAGAAAAAAAAAAGAAAGGGAAAAAAAAAAAGAATTATACACACACACACACACATACATACACATATATATAGGGGAAAAAATATATATACACATACAATATACATATGTGTGTATGTGTGTGTATATATATATATATACATATATATATATACACACACACACACACACACACATAAGCTCTGAAGGGTAGAAGGAATATCCAAGCCTCTGTTGCCTAAGAGAAGTCCCTGGACTTCAGTGACCCTGTTGTGCAACCTTACCCAGGATGGGAGCTGCTTACCTGAGTTCCATTGGTGGGGAGTTGGGGGTGGGGAGATAGGACCCACATTTAGAGTCAGTCAGTGCCTATTGCGGGCAGTCCTGAGCCTTGCATTATGACTTTTTGGTCTTCTGGTTGTGTTATTTCACTCCATCTGTGTCCCTACCTGATAGTTTCTCGGTACCTCTCTCTTGTCATCCCCCTCACTGCCCTTACCCTGCCTACCCTGGACCTTGATGCTATGAGGCATGGTCTCCTGGGTAGGCCAGGCTGGACAGGCATGTGGTCCTCCCAGCCATTGTACTTGTGATACAGAAGGTCACTGGTTCCCCTTCCTCTGCAGAAGAAAGGGTTTTTTCCAATCCATGGCATAGCTTCTGAGCCACAGTGCTTTGGTAATGGGGCACTTGGCATCAGGGCTCCATCACCAGAAAGCACCAAAGTCCTGGTACCCCACCCCATTCCATTCTTCCCAGGACCCCAAGTGGGTACTGCTGTGGCAGTGAGTCTGGCCCAGACAGACACTGCCGGCCTCCCCTCCCTATAATGGGCACCAGCTCTACCTCCCCATCAGGGCAAGGCCCTGGCTTCTCAGCCCAGCACCATCTGTTCCTCTAGACCTCTTGGGCCAGCCCAGTCTGGGTCACCCTGTCCCTCATCCTTAGCTCCCATGCAGGTGACAGGCCCAGGCAGATAGCTCCTCTCTGGGAAAGGTTGGATGCTGCCTTATCCCCCTTCTGGCCCCTCCTGTGCACACACACACACTGGTACCACCCGCACCCAGGCCAGCTCATTTTTCACCACATGCAGGGAGAGGGGGAGACCAATCCCTTCCTGTCTCTTGAAATACGAAGAATAATGTGTGTTCAGGAGCATGTCTCCTACACTGGGCTTTTGGGCCTGGTTTGGTCTGTCTTGTCTCAAATCTAGGCATTTTTGCTTCAATTTTATTTTTTTTAAGAAAACAAACAAAAATCTGCACTAATTTACCTGGTTTCGTAGGAAATTTTTTTTTATTTTTTACATTTTTTGGTGTCCCTTTGTATTGAATAATTTGCTACATTTGTAAAATGTAAGAGGTATATATAATATATGTATATTTCTAACGTAAGAAACGTAATTTTTTCTTTTCAAGGTTTTTTCTTAAAAAGAGGAGAGAAATTGATATTTTTTCAGGAAAAACAAACTTTAAAATAAAAAAAGAGGAGAATAAACCTTTTTCTCCCCTTTCCCCATCCTCTATCTATCCCTCTTTCCCAGGAACAAATCTAAAGATGGATTATCTTGTGAAGAATGTAAACTGTCAATCCAGAATGTCTTTTTCTCAATGCAGGGAGCTATAGATTCTCTAATTCTCCCTAAGAGTGGGAGGGGGCATTGAAGCAACTGTGGAGAGGAGCCAGGGGAGCAGGGTAATGACTTTTTTTTTCTTTAGTGAAGGAGGAATACAATCAAGTGTTTTGTATTCAGAATGTTGTGCAATATTTTGAAATGGGACATTGGTGTGTTAGAGATTTAGTTTAAAAACAAGATTGATCAAATCTGTACAGTTTATATTGTTCCAGATTTTTTTAAGTTTGTATTAAAAGCATGATATATAATAGCCCTTTCCTTGCTCCTAACTTGTTCTGTTTATGGGGTCTCTTGGGATGGAGAGAATGGCAGTAGCCCAACCCCTACCCCTGGGTGGACATAACTGACTTCTTGGTATGCCCACTACCACTGTCCTTTTCCATGTTGCAGACAGGTTCCTTGAGGCTAATAGACATTTTCTTGTTTGGTAGTTGCTGGGGCCAGGACTGGAAGCAGAGCCTTAAGATTGGGGTTCCTCTTTGTGGCTATGCTAGGAACTGCCTATTCCTTGGAGAAAAAGGGAGAGGCCCACCTGCAGCCTACTCTAGATATAGTATTTGCCTATCCAAGCCACTTGCTCTTTGGATATGGCCAGAATGAGGAGAGCCCACCTAAGCCATGTTTTGTCCAAACACCTGATACTCGGGTTCTCTATCCTTTTCTTGGGCCAGACACCTCCCTGGCTGCTTTAGAGGTGACAACCTGTCTGAGCCCAGGATTGGAAAGCAGCCCACTTTTCTGCCACTGATTTGAGATTTCAGCCACCACCTCCTTCTCCCAGGACCCCAGGGCCATGTTTTTCTTCACAAGGTCAGGGCTCATTAATGCTGCCCAAGGTCTTTGGGCCCAACTGGGCCCAGAGTATTTGTGAAGGTACTTGTTGAACCTTTTGCGGGGGGAGGGATCCCAGGGATTGAACTCAGGGGCACTTAGCCACTGACACATACCCGGCCCTTTTTTTACATTTCATTTAGAGACAGCCTCGCTGTTGCTGAGGCTGGCTTTAAACTCATGATTCTCCTGCCTCAGCCTCCCTAGCCGCGTATTCCTCTGTTCCACCGTGCAGGGCTTATTTTTGTTGAATCTTATCTCACCCTCATAGCAGCCAGTGGTAAAGGCCAAGTTAAATTGCCTGCTTAAATTCACAAAACTAGTAAGTGGTAAGGCTGAGATTTTGATTTGATGTGTCCTATTCAATCCAGTGGTCTTGAGCAGTGTTAGGCCCTTGTCAGAGAACAAACCAGTGCCTGTCTTTCCAGAGCTGATCTCACAAATATTTGATAAGCTGTAATACTGTTTTCGGGGTATGATGATGGGGATGGGGAACATTAACACTTTCAAACTGGGGCAGAGGGCAAGCAGATCTTATGGTGCATCAGGAGGGTGGGGTGTCCCCAGGCTCTTCGCTTTACAAATAAGCCAATACAGCCCTCCCCTCAACCCCTGCAAGCATGTGCACTTCATGTATCTAGAAGTTCTGGGGCCAAACGTCCAGCCTCTAGACAGCGTCCCAGGAGCCCTGGTGTCTGGCTCCTTCCACTGGCTGCTTCCCACAGAGTGTCAAGCAGAGGAAAGCCCCTGGTCAAGACACAAAACCACTTAACAGGGGTCTCATACTTCTATCCCAACAGAGAGAAAGCCAACCTGTCCTGTATACAAGCTGTCCACCAGTCAAGGGCCCCAGAGCAGAGGTGGGATGGCCCCTCACCTCATTTCTATTTATAAACATAGGTCCTGACTCAGCAAGTGCCAGGATCACCTGTTCCCACTGTGTCACACTCAGATCTGAAGGGCCAGGGCAAGCTCCTACCCACATGCCAAGACTAACTTCTGGGACAGCCAGTCCCTCCAGCTCATAGTGTGGACACTACATATTTGAACAAACCCCCAACTCCTCCATGGAATGGACACAGAAGTAACTCACTCCATTCATGCCGTGTTTTATTCACCAATTGTTCACTGGCTCTGATGAAAAGTGAGCTGGAGACCTGGAGAGGTAAAGGGCTGCCTGGGACCCCTGCCCTGCAGCAGGGGAAGAAAACATTTTGGCAGACTCAAGAGAGTTCCTCCAAAAAAGGGCATCATTTGTGCACTTTAAAAACCATCCCTGAGTATCCATCCACTCTGTTCTGGAAACAGTTGTGTGTGTGTGTGTGGGGGGGGGGGCACCTTCAGGATACTATACACAAGGGGCCTAGAGCCCACAGAACCAAGAAGGCTTCTTGGAGGTGCGAAGAGAGTAGAAGTCAGCCACAAAAGAAAAGGCAAGGCTACAGCCCTCCCAGGGGAGCCCCATCAGGAAGACACCCATCAGGGGTAGGGGAAAAGCCTGGACCCTGCTTCTTAGAAGCACAGGTACCACCAGGCATGGGGCACACGCCTGTAATCCCGGTGGGTAGGGAGGCTGAGGCAGGAGGATCACAAGTTCAAAGACAGTCTCAGCAAAAGCAAGGCACTAAGCAACTCAGTGAGACCCTGTCTCTAAATAAAATACAAAATAGGGCTGGGGATATGGCTCACAGTGGTCGAGTGTCCCTGAGTTCAATCCCCAGGACTAAAAAAAAAGGAGCACAGGTACCAATTCCAGCCCTGCTGCTTGCTAGCTGGGGGACCTCCAGCTACCCACCCACCTCCTTTTTTATTTGTTTATTTTTTTAGTTGTAGTTGGATACAATACCTTTGTTTTTATTTATTTTTTATGTGGTGCTGAGGATCGAACCCAGGGACTCACATGTGCTAGGTGAGCGCTGTACCGCTGAGCCACAACCTCAGCCCCCCCACCCCACCTACTTCACCTCAGTTGCCCAACTTCTACAATGAGAACAGTGACTAGCACTTCCTTGTGAACAACAGAATAATGGGTAGGGAATGTTGAGGCACTGGCTGATCTGAGGTAAATAAGTATCATTTTCATCAACTTGGCCATTATTGTCCATCCTCAAAGGCCACCAGCCAGCCCCATCCGGTCTATTGCTCTGCACTGGCAAACAGGCCGAAACCCAGGCCTGCCAGCAACAGGACCAGGCTAGGACTGAAAATAAAATTTCATTTTAGAGTCTGGCTGCCCGTAGGTGGCAAGCTGCCTCCAGTAAGAGGATGTCCCATTCTACTCCCCTCTCCTCCAGGGGCCTGTCTCGCTCCTCAGCATAGGAAGGGTCCCCGACTTGTAAGTCCAAAGCCTTCTGGGAGTTTCTCCTTGAAGAGGCACATGGGTGGGTAGAGGTGATTCACACAGCAAATTCTGCTCCCTCCTTTATGCCTGCCTCAGTCAGCACCTGTAGGCCAAGTGAATGCCACTGTCTGGTCCCTACTACTGCCACCTCCCTGTGAGTGGGGTGAGGGGAGGGACACACTTCCTCCTTTCCAGGGGCCTGGCCAGCTTGGCCAGCCACATCCTGCTTGAGTAGCCTGTGGACAGGCTGGGCCCACCGGGGAAGTCTCCAAGGCCTTGGGCAACATGAGCTTGTTCATTCTCTGGCTTTAATTTGGAAAATTTCACTGCCAGAAAGAATTGGGTTCTAGGTTCTTGAAGCTGCCAATTCAGTGTAACCTTGAATGTCTCTTGACATCTGGCCCAACTGCACAGTGAGGGACAGTGGAGTCAGGCCCCTGTCTAATTAGGCCATTCAGGATATTCCCTGGGCTGGTACCTCTTCTTAGGGCCCTGTGCTGTGGTATATTTCCCAGGGAGAGGGGAAGAAAATGACCAGCGAGGCCTTGGGCAGCCACATGGTATGGCTGGGATATCCCCAAAGTGTAAGAACCTAATCTGACTACTGCTAAACTGTGGCAAGGCTAGGTAAGTCTGGGCAGGGGGAAAGGCCTGCCCTAGTGGCCTGGATATCTGCATTCTTCTTTCTCTACCCTGATCTACTGTATTCAATAGTCAGCATTCAACATGACCCCCTGGGGTTGCTAGAGTACTTGCCTAGTGTGCATGAGGTCCAGGGTTCCATACCTAGGACTAAAAAGTAAATAAAATAAATAAAGCCACATGGAGTCCCTTTATAAGTGCTGACATTGTCCTAGGCAGAAGGAAAACATGGGAGAAGAGCAAAGTCCCTGCTCTCCTAAAGCAAGGTTCTATTGATCACAAATGAGAAAGTGTCACAGGGTAAGGATGTGCTATTAAGATAATCACAACAGCCAGGCATGATGGCACACTTCTGTACTTCCAGCTACTTAGGAGACCGAGACAAGAGGACTGCAAGTTCAAGGCCAGGCTGGGCAACTTTTATTTTATGTGTTTCAAAATAAAAAATGGAAAAGACTGGGAATGTAGCTCAGTGGTAATGCATCCCTGGGTCCAATTCCCAGTAATGGAAAAGTAATTATCACAATAATGGTAACTAATAACCTAATGAATCCTTATACTGGGTGGTCAAGGCAAGGCTTTCATCATGTGATCTGAATTAAAAGATCTCTTTGGGCTGCTGGGGATATGGCTCAGTTGGTACAGCTGCTTGCCTAGCATGCACAAGTCCCTGGGTTCAATTCCCAGCACCACCAAAAAAAAAAAAAAAAAAAAAAAATCTCTTATCACATGCTTAACCAACATCAGCAGAAGGACAAGAAGCTTCACAAGACTTGAGGGACAAGAACAAGACTGGTGTGCCTTAGCACAAGCCAACAGCATGTCATGCATGCAACATGGAGGGCCTTGTGAACTGGATGGGAAGTTGGGATTTTATCTGCCCCCCAAGTTGCCCCAAGTAGTGGGATAGCAGGGTGGGGATGTACTTCAATGGTAGAGCACTTGCCTAGTGTGATTAAGGCTGGATTTTTTTTTTAAGTTTGGGATTGAACCCAGGGGTGCTTAACCACTGAACCACATCCTCAGCCCTTTTCTTTAGTATTTTATTTAGAAATGGGGTCTTGCTGAGTTGCTCAGAGCCTTGCCAAGTTGCTGAGGCTGCCTCAGCCTACCAAACCACTGAGATTACAGGCGTGTGTCACTGTGCCTGAAGTCCTGACTCTAATTCTCAGCACTGCCATGAAAAAAAAAAAAAAAAAAAAAAAAATCATAGCCAGGTGCACACATATAATCCCAGTGACTCCAGAGACTGAGGGAGAATCTCGAGTTTGAGGCCAGCCTCAGCAATTTAGCAACCCTGTCTCAAAATAATAAAAAGGGCTGCTGGGGATGTAGCTCAGTGATTCAATTCCCAGTACCAAACAACAACAAAAGAAGCAGGGGAGCTTTCTCTCACACACTGAATCCACAAACCTTTCCAGAATCCCTCCTTTGTG